GTGCCATGCTCTTCCTCGGCCTTGACTCTTCGCACTCCCAAACCAAGTCCAAGAACATCTAGAGGTTGAGCTCGAGCTTGATCCGTGCGCCGAGGTCTTGGAGCTACAGCGACCTAGAGCTCTGAAAAGTAAAGAAACATTAAAGCAAATTCATGAGGGCATTTCTTTTTAGCTCCTTTACAGTGATTGGGGCAGTACTGGGAGTACTTTCGAGTACTTGCCCCTCCGATTTTTATTAGCCGTCTGATCTGGTGGGGGACTAAAAATGAATAAACCTAATTAGTTTAATTAGAGAAGAGCGTAATGGTCCATGGTAAAATATTGTGCTTTCAACCGATCACGTCCACGACCAGAACCCGTAGGTCAAGTCCTTGTCCTCGTCCTCTTCCTTCTTTCCGACAAACCCGGCGAGAGGAACCAATTCACTGTCGTCGGCGTCGTCCTCGTCCTCTTCCTGGTCCCCTTCACTATAAAAGACGTGTCCGGCGACAGGAAGAAGAATAAGGCGTGACATCTGCGGCGGCGACTACTAGTCATGCTGATAGTAAGAAAACTAACTCGATTAAGTATTGCTATTTTGTAAGTTCAATTGTACACCCCATCTGTCATGCGGGGATCTAACCTTGTGCAATCGCCCGGCGAATTACATAAAGTCATTCATGTTTGTACACCAATGCACCGGGTATGGTGGATTAAAGTGCATTAAGTGAGGGTCTATCTTTGTGCACATCGTCCGGTCCATTCAGTAAAGTCCTTCGTGTTTGAACACAAAAGCACCGGACATGCTATATTAAAGTTTGGCATGCGGGGATCTATCCTTCTGCAGTTGTCTAGTGAATTACGTAAAGTCCTTCATGTTTGTACATGAACGCACCGGATATGCCGAATTAAAGTTCATTAAGTGGTGCTTTCAGTAAAGTCCTTCGTGTTTGAACACGAGAGCACCGGGCATGCTATATTTAAGTTTGTCATGCGGGGATCTGTCTTTGTGCAGTCACCCAGCGAATTACGTAAAGTCCTTCGTGTTTGTACACAACGCACCGGGTATACTGGATCAAAGTGCATTAAGTGGGGGTCTATCTTTGTGCAATCGCCCGATCATTCAGTAAAGTCCTTTGTGTTTGAACACGAAAGCACCGGGCATGCTATATTAAAGTTTGTCATGCGGGGATCTATCCTTGTGCAGTCGCCTAGTGAATTACGTAAAGTCCTTCATGTTTGTACATGAACGCACCGGGTATGCGGGATTAAAGTTCATTTAGTGGTGCTTTCAGTAAAGTGCTTCATGTTTGAACACGAAAGCACCGGGCATGCTATATTAAAGTTTGTCATGCGGGGATCTATCCTTGTGCAGTGGCCTGGTGAATTACGTAAAGTCTTTCATGTTTGTACACGAACGCATTGGGTATGCAGGATTAAAGTTCATTTAGTAGTGCTTTTAGTAAAGTCCTTCGTGTTTGAACACGAAAGCACCGGACATGCTATATTAAAGTTTCTCATGCGGGGATCTGTCCTTGTGCAGTCACCCAGCGAATTACGTAAAGTCCTTCATGTTTGTACACCAACACACCGGGTATGCTGGATTAAAGTGCATTAAGTGGGGGTCCATCTTTGTGCAATATTCCGGTCCGTTCGGTAAAGTCCTTCGTGTTTGAACACGAAAGCACCGGGCATGCTATATTAAAGTTTGTCATGCGGGATCTGTCCTTGTGCAGTCGTCTAGTGAATTACGTAAAGTCCTTCATGTTTGTAGACGAACGCACCGGGTATGCGGGATTAAAGTTCATTTAGTGGTGCTTTGAGTAAAGTCCTTCGTGTTTGAACACGAAAGCACCGGGCATGCTATATTAAAGTTTGTCATGCGGCGATCTGTCCTTGTGAAATCGCCCAGTGAAGTACGTAAAATCCTTCATGTGTGTACACAAACGCACCGGGTATGTTGGATTAAAGTTCATTTAAGTGGGGTCTATCTGTGTGCAATCGCCCGGTGCGTTTAGTAAGGGACATTTACATCTATGCCCTTAACTCGAACCCACTACTCAGTTTTGCCCCAAATTTTTAGGTATGCTCAGTTTTGCCCCTCCGCCGTTAATGTCACTTATACAAATGCCCTTTTGCGCCGTTACCATCTGGTCAAAGGACTTTGACCACCCAGAAAAAAATACCAAAAAAAATCTGAAATTTTGTGGGATCGAAGATAGACATGTCCGCAAGGCGCGTGCAAATTTGTGTGCCGTTCGGACACCCTGGGAGCTCGTGGCAAAGGAAATCATAAATTTTGTACACATGTGAACAGTAAATTCGAAAAAATAGAAAAAAATCAAAAAATATGAAATTTTGGGGAACTGAAGATACTTAGGTGCACAAGATGTGTGTACATTTTTGTTGTGTTTGGACATCGTAGGAAAGGTGCAGCGACGGCTCCGATACTGGTTGCGCGCGCAACCAGTTAGGCAAGGCCTTATTCGTCGTATGTGTACATGCCGAGTTGTTTTACACGCTGGGATAGAGAAAGAGTGTTGCATGCAGCTCTGGTCCTGACACACACTGTTCACATCTCTCTCTTTTTTATTGACAAGACACTATTCACTCATGTGCGCTGCATGCAATGGAGCTCACTGCTGTCACTGCTGTCTCTGTTCTTTTTTATTACAAATGGTCTGACATGTCTGTAATCAACTGCATGTGGCTTTGTCTAACTTCACACATATCTCAAGAAACAGTACGTCAATGAATGACACAGATAAAAGGTGTTGTGTAGCTTGAGCTACAAAAACCACTCTCATAACATAGCTTGCGGAAATTTTCCTTGATTTTTCATCTTTGAAACTGGTTTGTTGACACCTAATATATGAGTGGAACGCAGAAGAAGAAATGAAGATAGTAAAGGTTCAAGCTCACCTGGATCGGTGCGGCTTGCGGTCGACAAGCGACTTCTTGAAATGGGCAGCAGCAGTAGCAGTAATTATTTTCTCCTAATACGGTTCCATGGAAAATCCCCATGAAGTTAGTTTCAATGGATGAGTTAGAAAGAAGTGAGAATAAAGTTTCAACATGTCTTACAAATTATGTGCGTGAAATATACACCAACGTATTCCAATTCAAGTGAGATCGATTCATAAGCGGAACAGAGAGAAAGAGCATGCAAGGCAGAACTGAACACGTCGAATATGATGGAGATGTCCATCATAATGCAGCCTTCCGCTTGCTCTAGTTCTCTCTTTTTCAGCTTTGTAGAAAGTTTCCCAGCTTGCTTGTTCTGATTTATCTTCTTCGAGAAATGTTTTGTTCAAAGCTAAAAGAATAGACTGGTGGATTCAATTTTTAAGAACACGTAGAATAAAAAGGTGTACTTAGAAGAAAGGATGGTTCAAGCAAGATTTTTCTTGTTTGAAAACTAGTTTGTTCAGAGCTAAAATAGGTTGGTGGTTCAGAGCTAAAAAAATAGCTTGCTGAAATTTCCCTTGGTTCGAAAAATGGATTTTTCAGAGCCAAAATAGCAACGAAATTCAGAAGAAGAAATGAAGTCGTACTTAGCAGAAAACAATGTTCAAGCTCACCTGGATTGGTGTGGTTTGCCGTCGACGAGCCACTCGCCTTCAAATGACAGTCTCCTGGGAAGTGTCAAACCTCACAAACATACAGCTTGTGGGCGGAAGCACCAACCAACGATCGCTTTGTTGGCGACAACACGCAGGTGAGGTGTTGTGTACCTTAAATTAGTTTTATGTTTTCCCAAGTTGGACATGGTCGCAAAAATGAATGTGTAGAATACGGAACAGTCAAATACCAACGTCCTCGATCACAAGCTTATTGCTCCCACGAATAATTGCATATGTGTTAAATGTGGATTATGGAATCCTAAAAAATGACAATCTCATCATGGCGGCAGCCATGCAAGTAATGAACCATTACATAATTAAACTGAACTGTTCATGTGTTGCAGCTCGAAATGCAGGAAAAGGAAATAATTAGGCTGCTGCTGCAAACCAAACTGTTCTACTGAAACCTCAGCCAGTATCTTTGTATAAGTGCAGTAAGAGTAATGGTGCTGTGGTCTGGTGGTAAAACAAAGCAGAGGAACAAATAGGCAAAACTGCCAAGCCTCTGCCCACCATAGTTCACATCAAGAAAAGGGAACAAATGCTTAACCAGGCAAAATAAACGCCATCGGTTTGGCGAGAAATGGTCTGCTGATAAACTTTCCTCTAGTGATCATATCTTACAATTTTGTTGCTAGCTGCTCCTTGTTGCATAACTTAAACTGCACTGTAACTTTCCAAGTTGGACAGGGTCGTGAAAACTAATAGATCAAATGCATCATCGATCACGAATATAGTACATTCAGTGAAAAAACAATTGCATGACACGATAGCCCAAAGAAGAAGTGTTGACCCTGCAATGCAAACCAATTTTATTTTTACGTGACTTTGACTTTCTGATGATGTAACTATTCTACACAATGAATAAGGCTGCCATGAAGGCTTTCCCTCAAGAAACAAGTACAGGTATTTGTTTCTCATACTCCCATTGAACCCCAAATGCTTGAAAATGTGGAGTATGGAACACTAGATGTTCTCCCTCCGTAGCAAATCGCACTTCTTCCAAAATAATCTGTTCTATATCCATCCTGAAGAACATGTGCAGCTAGGGTTTTTAATAGCAAGGAGCCTCGAGCCGACAGTCCTAAAAGGGCCATTTCATCATCATCCTGGCGACAATACAAGTAATATAGGATTCCATAAACTGAACACCAGCAAGGATGGTGCTCTGCTGGTAGAAGAAGCAGAGGAGGCTACTCCAGTAGCGACATAAATGTGCAAAAATGTCAAGCTTGATTCCTTCGAGTGCTTCTATAACAACTAGGTTGCAGTTTGAAACAATCAAAAGGCAAAACACAAACACAAAATTAAATACTTCTGACACCCTTGTTTGATGTTTTGCAGAATGCAAGTTAACCCACCCAAGCTACCAAATCCGAATCAATCATTAAACCTACATCATGGGATGCAAAGCGTGAACCATGCCGGTGGCGGCTTGTTCCGATGCGGCCCAAGGCCCTCGACCTTCTCCTCCCGGCTGTCCTTGAGGCTGAACACCCCGGCGCTACGCTGGTTGTCGGGGTAGCACAGCGACAGATCGTCGGCGGTGTAGTAGACACAGCCGGCCCTAAGCTCAGGGTGCTCCCTCGTCGACACGCACAGCAAACCGTTCACCCCAACAAACAGCGCTGCGTCGCCGATGTCGTCCGCCTCCTTCCATTGCTCTGCACCAGCGTCAAGGACCTGCACCTTGAATGTCAACCGATGTGTGATCTTATCAGACTGCTTGAGCACGACCATTAGCCGACCACCCGGCCCCATCACCAGGTACTTGCAGTGGTTGCACCAGGGCTGCCCTGGTGCTACCACAACACTGGTGAACACGCCGGTACCATCGGCGTCCTGCTCCCACACCTCCACCTCGCCGGAGTAAGTAATCGAGTAGAACCTGCCGTCGTGGTGGATGGCGTCCTCTATGCTGTCGCGCGAGGGCGGCCTCGGCCACATGGCACACTTAGTCCCGGCCTTGGCGATGCAGTGGCGCGAGGGCACCAGCCTCCACACACGGCCCTTCGCCGTGGCGAAGGCCACGGCGCCGTACCGTAAATTAGTGATAAGCATGGCAATGTCGGCTGAGTCAGAGAGGACGACCTTGCGGTAGAAGTAGCGGCACATCGAGCCGGGGGTCATCGCGGCGAATCCTTTGGGGTACGGCGGGGGGGCCCTGATGAACGGCTTCTCCTCAAACGAGAAGATGGAGCCCCCATGCTGGGCGTCCACGCAGGGGATGGTCTCGATGGCAGAGAGCCCGCGCTGCTCGCCTGTGACCGGGTTGACGAGGCGCAGCCGGGCGAAGACGTCGGCGATGACGAGCCACCCGCGGGATGATGAGGAGCACAGGATGAGGTGGTCGGGGCCCTGTTAGGTTAATCCAAACAAGTTTAAAGTTTAGTTTGCAAAGTGGTCATGTTAAGCAAAGAGTCCGGCTAGCAGTAGTAACTAGCCGTGTATCCAAGTAGAAGTGTACCAGGTATTTTACGCTATAGAAGTTGGAGTTGGAGTCATGTTAGGCTTGTGATCAAGTTTGCCGGTGATTAGATTAGGAGATTCCGGTTTAGGACTTGAGTCAATGTCCGTGTGATGATAGGAGTTGATGTACGAGTAGGTATAGGATGTTTGGGTCGGCCGCCGGGATATATAAGTAGAGGCAGGTGCGTGAGTTTTTTAACACAAAGAAAAGGAGAAAATAGAAATAAAGAGGAAAACAAAGGGCACGATACGAGCCCTTGGCTATCAGTTTTTCTGTGCGCGTGTGTTCGTGTGATTTGATGTGATTGATCCTGAGGGCGTATTTCCAACAATTGGTATCTAGAGAAAGGTCGAGGTCAAGCTGCGCTTGCCCCGGGGTGGCGACCCGACTAGCGCCTCGGGGCGGGCCATATAGTCGTCGGGTGGTACAACGACGAGGAGGAACGGGTGATCTAGTCGCTGGGTGGTGCAGCGACGTGAAGGGTCATGCGGTTGTCGTTCGGCAGAGCGACAACGAGAAGGTGGCAAGGACATTGTCGTAAGCGAGGCAACAGGTTATTGTCGTTCGGCAGAACGACCTGGAGGAGGGCGAAAGGGCTGTCGTCGACAAGGTGTTGGTGATCGTTGATGGTTATGGAGGTGCCGAAGTTGCGACAGGAAATCATCGAGATCATTGTTGGAGGGTGCAAGGTGGAGATGGCGAAGCTGTGAGCCGTCGTCAAGGTGTGCACATGAATTCTTGTAAGGTGCGTCCAAGAGTTCGGGTGTGTGAATCTTCTGCTGCAGTTAAGATGCGTCACTGGCAGGGGAGAATTGCAAGCGTGAGCGGGCGGAAAAAGGAATTTGTGCCTTGCATTTTCGTTCGTGGTCGTGGAGTTCCGACGAGTTCATATACGGTGGAGGTGAGTTGCACGTATATGACGAGTTGTGTTGCCGCTGGACAGGAGGTGTCGTTCGATAAGACGTGGCATCGGCGACAATGAGAAAGATTGAAGATGTGGCGGGTGAAGAGATGTGTCTCCCCGTGTGTGATCAAGTAGTCGACAAGAAGATGGAGATCAACGTGAAGAGGACGCGCACCGGTTAAGTTGAGTTCCTGCATGAGGCTATGCGTTTAGTCTGCATGTAGCACGCTAAGTTGTGGCAGCGTGGCTGGTAGTCCGGGTAATAGTTGGTTTCAGTTTTTCAAGTCGGCACAAAAGTGTAATGGTGATGACGTGGTGGCCATCGTTGCAAGAAGAGAGAAGCTGATGTCCGGTAAGTCGCATCACCGGAGGCAATCGACGGGACAAGATGAAGAGGCGATCATCTGCGTGCCTCGTCGAGTAAAAAGTCAAATGTTTGGATTAGAGGGTGAATATTAGGTTAATCCAAACAAGTTTAAAGTTTAGTTTGCAAAGTGGTCATGTTAAGCAAAGAGTCCGGCTAGCAGTAGTAACTAGCCGTGTATCCAAGTAGAAGTGTACCAGGTATTTTACGCTATAGAAGTTGGAGTTGGAGTCATGTTAGGCTTGTGATCAAGCTTGCCGGTGATTAGATTAGGAGATTCCGGTTTAGGACTTGAGTCAATGTCCGTGTGATGTTAAGAGTTGATGTACGAGTAGGTATAGGATGTTTGGGTCGGCCGCCGGGATATATAAGTAGCGGTTTTGCTATTTCACATCTAGATGTGAGATAGCTATCTCACATCTAAGTTCTGAACCATTGGATCCTTATTGTCTTTAGATTCGCGCAAACCGTTCTGATTCATTCGTGTGCTGGCTCGCACCTCGCTTTCTGGGCACGGTGGGTCGGTGGCCGTGTACAACTCCTTACGAGTGTGGCGGGCCGTTGTCTATTTTGTTTTTTCACGTTATTGGCTAGCGAGCTGTTTTTTGTTTGTCCACGGCGTGTGTTTTGACACTCCAGTATATCATCCATCCAATGGAGGAACTGTTCCATCCTTCATCCACTCGCATTTCGTCACCGGCTCCCTTTTCATCCACCTAATGGAGTTGTGCGCCTTTAACTTGCAACTCGTATCATAAATTAGTTGTCTCAGTTGCAAGTTTATCCTCAACTTGCAACTACGTATGTATTTATTTTTCATCCCAGTTGCAAGTAAACTCTTGACTCGTAACTAGGTTCGTAGTTTTCGTAGTGTCTCAGTTGCAAGCCAACCTTCGACTCGCAACTAGGCTTGTGTTTTGTTTTTCATCCCAGTCGCAAGCCCACCCTCGACTCGCAATTGCGCCCATAGTTTGTTGTTGTCCTAGTTGCAAGTCCATTCTTGACTCGCAACTGGGATGTGTTTTGATTTTCATCTCAGTTGCAAGTCCACCCTTTACTCGCAATTGGGCTTGCAGTTTTTGTGTTTCATCACAGTTGCAAGTCTACCCTCGACTCGTAACTAGGCTCTTAGTTTCATAGTGTCTCAGTTGCAAGTCCACATTTGAGTCGCAACTGTATATGTTTGTTTTTCATTCCAGTTGCAAGTCCACCCTTGAGTCGCAACCGGGCCCATAGTTTTGATGTCGTCCCAGTTGCAAGTCGACCACTGATTCACAACTGGACTCGTAGTTTCGTAGTTGTCCCAGTTGCAAGTCTACCTTCGACTCGCAACTGGGCTCATAGTTCTCCCATTGCAAACCAACCCCTCAACTCGCAACTAGGCGTGCATTTTGTTTTTCATCCCAGTTGCAAGTCTAATATTTGACTCGCAACCAAAAGGCAGAAGTTTTTATTTTCGTTCGTAGACTACTGGAAGCTAGCGATCAGAGACGTACTGTGTAAGAATATAGCGATCAGCGCAAGAACAGACAAATCCTGGTAGCACTGTTCAAAGCTAGCGATCAGTTTTTCTTTATACGAAAAGCTAGAGATCAGATGTGCCGTACCAGTAAAACTAAAGTAGTGGCTTAACGTACAGGCCAGCCCACCCAGCGGACGTACGCACAAGCTGATTTGTTTGTTCTGTGCTTTGACAAACAAAATCAAACAAAACAAAAAAATGATTAAGTGAGGTGGCATTGACATCATCCTTATATATGACATTGTTAGATGTGAGATATTATCTTACATCTAGATGTAACATAGTCGGACCCAGTAAGTAGAGGCAGGTGCGTGAGTTTTGTAACACAAAGAAAAGGAGAAAATAGAAATAAAGAGAAAAACAAAGGGCACGATACGAGCCCTTGGCTATCAGTTTTTTTGTGCGCGTGTGTTCATGTGATTTGATGTGATTGATCCTGAGGGTGTGTTTCCAACAGGCCCGGGGCGCGCACGACGGCGGAGCGGCGGTCCGCGAGCGAGAAGAGCGTGGCGGTAGGCGTCGCTGGGGAGGACGAGGCACGGCGCCTCCGGCATGTGGAAGGCGGCGGCGAAGGCGAGGCGGTCGATGAGGCACAGGCGAGCTTGGATGTTGGCTAGCATGTCCGACGGGAGGCCGGAGACGCCTGCTGCGGCGGCGGCGGCGTCTGCTCGATTCCGTAGCATTGGATTGGGGATTGCAGGGTGGTCTGCGTGGTCCGATCGGGAATCAACGGTTCAAAAATTGGGTAGCAGCCTACGTACCCTAGTCCGTTTTCTGCTGTGCCCGTCCCTGTTCTTTTGGATCTCAACGGTTGCTAGGCCTGCGTGCCACTTGTATAGCGCAATCTTTTTTTTATGGTAATATGTGTCTCATATATATCATAAGGTTCTTAGTTACATATCGACCTCACAAAACTGAAAAGACAGCAGAACGCTAGCCTTTGCACATAGGAACACCAGCCGAGAAGTAAAATTACAAAGAAGACTGAAGAATCCTCTGAGCTTGACACCAACATTCGTCACCCGCCTCTAGCACCACCATGACAGACACCAAAGGAGAAAATGACGGAGCACCTCCATACTCGAGCTCGACGCGGCTCCATCGTTGATATGCAGCTTCACGGACCTCCAAGGTGGCTCGTCAATAAAGGCGAAGCCATTGCCGTTGAATGAATCAGACCGGGGAACACCCCGGACACGTCATCAAACTCCAGATCTGGCACCCCCGCCCAACTAAGACGCTGGAGGAGGAAACCATATCTACCTGCCACGAACCACGAACCCAGATCCACCATCTGCCAGATGTCATCGATGCAGATCACAATCTGCATCCGCTCTTGGACTACCTCCCAAACTCCACGCCGGCGCTGGAGCAAACGCCGTCGCAACGGCGGAGACTGAGGACACAGGTCGACTATGAGGATGTCGCCGCCGCTACACCATCCTTGCTTGAACAGTCTGATTTCCAAATTCACACCACAAACGGATCACTTTATTGTGGAAGGATCTGAAGATTTATTAGTCGGCGCTCCATCGCCACCGCCGAAGCCATGATGATAAACAACCCAAAATCCTAAGAAACTAACGCCTAAAATAATCCACACGCGTGGATTTAGCGACCCCCCACCCCGACGACCAAGATCGTCAGCATAGGGGAGCCGCCGGAGAACGGCGACGGAGAAAGGCGCCCTGGCGGCAGGAGGCGAGATCACCTTTCTTAAGAAAGAAAGCGACCCCAGTACAAAGTTAACCTTATAGGGCAATCCGTTGGACCTCGCTATATGTACCTGTTGTAAGGTGTAACCCGGACACCAATACACTCTGGAATTATATCCACTCTAGCTTGGTATAAGACCGCCATGGCTGCCCAC